AAAAAGTAAATAGCGTTTAAAGGTAAAATGGGAAGGAGATGAAGGCCTAATTCGAATAGGAAGGAAGGAAAAATGTAATCTTAACCTAGATATATAAACGAAACCAGAAGCCAATTAGGGAAGAAGATGAATATTGGAACTTTCTATTTTACCCTTCCATTTTGACGATAAACAGATTGAGGACCATTTCAATTAACGTTTTCATAGTCGAAGATGCAATTGAACAATTTTGGAAGTCGAGGATCAAAGTGGAGAAATCCTAATAGTCGAGGGAACAAATCGGGAATTAACTCAGACATTTTTTTAATGGTTGCTAAGCTATCACAAATACATTTGAATTTTAGTAAATATTCATTAGGTGATAAATTGTCTTTGATCAATGTCATAATAGTTTATATAACAAATTAAACATTTCTTTCTCTTTGGGTATAGGAAAAATGGAAAAGTTTTATATGCCTCCTTAGCAATAGTGCTAAGTAACCACATTATTAGAAGGTTGTCATTGTTGAAGCATGTAGCATATGCCAAATTTGGTGTTTCGTTGCCATCCTTCTTTTAAAACTTCTGGTGATTTGCATTCCTTAATAGGCTATGAACCAACGAAAGAATTTGAGATTTTCAAAGCAAATAATTAATTTGGGTTAACTTTTTCGTGGTTACAAAACTAGAGCATTGGTGAAAGTTTTGAATAATGAACATGGGATCATGGGATCATGCTTTTAATATTTTGTTTTTAATTTTCAATCATGGAATCATGCTTTTCTTTCTAAGAAAATTTTGACTACATTCCTTGATAAAATAGGTTAGAAACCTCCCCCCTCCCCCTAATGTTAGAAACCTATATATATACATACCCATGAGAGAAGAAATAATGATGAAAAAAAAAAAAAAAAAAAAAAACTGTACTCTAAGCATAAATTACAGCAAAAGATTTGTTGCTAGCCATTGCTTTCCATGCAAATCAAGTCTTACTAGGAACGGTAACCATAATTTGAGAACAACAAATGGAATTAGAAGGATTATTTGCTATTAGTGATTGGCTATATATTCTTCACTAACTAGTTAAGATTTTGAAGTAATATTTTTATCAAATTTATGTTAGAAATATATAAATAAAATAGACATGTATCATATATAATCTAATCTCAATTGCGGAAGCATAGGATCAAGCATACCTCCTGCCATAGGTGATACCTTCATTGAATCATTTTGCCTCAAGAACTCCAAATGGGTTAAAAGTTTGTTGTTTACCACTAATCTCATGTAGTAATAATTAACTAGATGGGCGATGTAGTTGTAACTTGCAAGGCTGTAACATAAGCAGTGGAAGAACCATGCTTAAATAGCTTATGTGCCAACATTATAGGTTAAGTAACGGAAACAGTTGCTTCCATTTCCAACAACAACATAATGACCTATTAAACTTGCATTTGTATCACTTAATAGTGTCATTATAATGGAAAATGTTACAATTTACTGTAAAGTTTGGCCATGAGAAGTGTTGGAATACTAACACCAACTCTGCCATTAATCATGAAAGTGTTGAAGCTATTTCTTTTATTAGAAGTCAGGTTTTCTTGGTTATAAACTATTTTGCTTGATATCTCCCGCATCATCCTCTACTACAGCGCAATTGGATGGATTGCTTGTTACATCCTATATATACCAATATGTAAAAGGCAAAACCAACAAAGTCGTTGTAGTATAGTGGTGAGTATTCCCGCCTGTCACGCGGGTGACCCGGGTTCGATCCCCGGCAACGGCGTTTAATATTTTTGAACAATTTTTGTTTTTCTTGCGTTCTAGGAGAAACGGAAATATTAATTGACAAAAAGATCCGACCTGTGGATTCGAACCAGCGACTTAAGGATTTCAGTTAATAAAGAGTCAGACTACAGTCCTCCGCTCTACCAACTGAGCTAAGGTAGGATACGTTGCTAGGTACCTAATGAAATTTATTTATACACATTTGAAATAGTGAGCTAAGGTCGGATACGTTGCTAAGTCCCCAATGACATTTATTTATACACATTTGAAATAGGACGAAGAGAAGTACTCTTATTATGGTTTGAGACTATGAGCTAAACATGACTGCAGTTTGATTTTGATTCATAAAAATTATATCATGGACCAAGTCCATAAAAATAATACTAATACTATATAAATTGTCCATAAAATTACAGTAATATTTTAAGTTCATAAAAATATAATAGCACAAAGTTTTCAATTATCACTTAAATATATTAATTTTTATTTCTTTTTGTATAAATAAGATCAATATATAAAAATATATATGGTTAAAATATAATAGTTAAGATCTTTAAAGCCACACCTATATTCATATATTTCTTCGATATAATATTTCTACAATTCTATGATAAACTTACAAGAATTTATATGAACATACAATAATACGTAATTTTATGAACTCATAATAATAATAATAATAATAATATATAGTTATGTTATATACGGATATAAATTTAATATTGGTCGGATGTAATTTTAGTTATGTTATATACGGATATAAATTTTGATTGATTATCAAATGTAAACATCTTATATATATTGAATTTAGAAGCAAAAATTATATTTATTCCTGACGGATATATTGGAAATCGACCCGAACCGACCCGAGGGCGCGAAGCAAGAACGGGTCCAGGGGCGGCGCCACGTACCCGCCCCGGCCGAGGCCTCGCCACGTGGCCCCCGCACGGGCCACGTTGGAGGCCGGGCCGGCCTCTCCAAGAGGCCGGACCGACCTCCACATGGGCCCGGTCCGAGCTCCAAATGGGCTCGGCCCGGCCCCCGCACAGCGGCCCGGTCAAGAGACCGGGCGCGGTCAACGCCAGATCCAACTAACCCCCCGTTTTAGGGGGAGGCGGTTGGGGGCTTGGCTTGTATAAAAGCCCCCCTCCTTGTCCTAACAAGGGACATGCTATCTATGATCTACTTTACTTACACACTTTGTCCTGAAATACTATTGTAATAGTCAATTCTACGGAATTTAATACAATCTACGGTCTCACGGCCTTTGCTATATCGTTCGTATTACTTATTTATTATTCCTATTCTTATCCGGATTTAGTGATTCGGGTCCCACCGGGTTAATTAAATCCATCATTGGTGCTCTTGTTGAGAGCTGTTGTACAAGCTTAAGCGCTCTCCCCATTATCGTTTATCCACAGCGATGGCAAGATCGAGATCCAGCTCTCGTCATACCAATGGTTCCGGCGACACCCAGCTCGTCCCGAACGGGAACGGTCCCAAAGGGCCCCCGCCCCCAGCATCCAACCAGCTGCCTCCACCAGGTCGGGGGAAGATCTGAGGGCCCAGCTCACCAACCACCGTGGCAGTGGTGCACCGTCACCACCCCCTGTCGCTCCGGCTCGCGCACTCATCCTGGAGGGGGTGGCGGTCTTTGAACAAGCCTCCACGGCGCTGGCGCGCGTCGCAGCGGGCCTTCGGGCAGAGGAACAAGCCGACCTAGGCGCCACCCGGGGGGCGCCGGCGTCACCTCCACCTCCTCCCACCCGGAGGCGCAGCGGTCCAAGCACCCGGCCACCCCAGGCACCTATCACCCACAGGGAGGTCAACTCGCCTCGACCATCGGAGAGGTGGGGAGGAGGGGACTCCCACCGAGGCCGCCAGCGCGACGGCGATGGAAGGGCACTAACCCAAACCAGGCCCACCCTGGAGAGATTGGGCGATCACGTATCGGCCCGGGACAGGCTAGGTCCGAGGCCAGCCAACGGGCCACCGGCGGAGGAATCATGCTCCCGCCGACCACTGCGACAAGAATCGGTTACTCGGAGGTCGCCGAGCCATGGGCCACGCGCCCAGCCGCGACACGAGGCAGCCTCGCGTGGGTCCGCAGGGCAGGTCCCCCGACCCCACCCGCGACATGAGCAGGCCTCCCGGGTCGAACGATCGAGTGAAACGAATGATAGAGTTCCGAGCTCCCATCGGGTAGAGGTCGAGCAGCTGCGGAGGAGGATGGACGAGCTCCAGAAGAAGATCGATGAGAGGGACGGATCTCCAGAGCCCCAGGATGTGTTGTCCTCCCCGTTCGCAAATGCCATCATGGAGGAGCCCTTACCTCGAGATTTTCGCTTTCCCACCATTAAAGCGTACTCGGGGACCACGGACCCGCGGGCACACCTGACCAGGTACAGGGCCGCCATGATGATCACCGAGGCAACAGACGTCATCCTATGTAGGGGGTTCTTCGCCACCCTGGATGGGCAGGCGCATGATTGGTTCGGATCCCTCCTGGCGAGGTCCATCTCTGCCTTTGCGGACCTCACCCGGCAGTTCCTATCCCATTTCACCACCCGCATACAGCGGAAGAAGCAAATTGCCGACCTGTGTGATTTGAAGCAGGGGAGCTCGGTGTCACTAGCCGAGTACCTCAGAAAGTGGAAGAAAGAGGCCATGGGGGTCGCTGACTTTGATGGGAAGTCGGCCATGGTGATTTTCCGAAACAACTTGAGGTCAAGCGCTTTTCATCAGGGCCTCATCAGGTACCCCCCCCCCCCCCCCCGCCCTCCAAGGACCTATACCGACCTGATGGACAAGGCAGCAAGGTACACTGACGCCGAGGCTGCCGAGAAGAGGAAGAAGGAACAGGAGGAAGGAAGAGGTCGAAAAGACAAGGCGCCCCAGGAGGAGCGCAAGGCGCCGCGACCACACCGACGTGAGTACACTGAGGGGCCCAGGCTGAACCCCACACGCTATCTCACCCCGCTGACACAACCTGTGGGTACCATCTTGGCGCACGCGGAGGACTAGGGAATCATGGTATTCCCGAAGGAGGAGTGCATGAAGATATCGGCAAGGGGGGACCCCAACAAGTACTGCAGGTTTCACCGGCAGAAGGGGCACGATACAGACGAATGCATCCTCTTAAAGAGACAAATCGAGGAGCTCATCCAAATGGGTTACCTCGGCCAATTCATTAAGAGGCCCGGCCAGGCGCAGGGCTAGAAGCAAGGCAAGGTATGGAGGAAGGGGGTGGCCAGACGCCATCCACCTCGGCTCCCCGTAAGAGGGACCACCACGACAACAGCTCCGAAGAGGAGGAGAAGACAACAGAGGACTCCCAGCCCCCGAGGAAACATACCATCTACGTCATCTTCGGGGGGCCCGAGGGAGGGGACTCGCCAGCCGAGCGGAAGAGGTGGGCGAGAAGCTTGTACGTAGGGGAGGTCACACGAACACCCCACGAGAAAAAACCAAAGAGGGAGCCCATCACGTTCACCGACGCCGACCTACCTGACGGGCCCCTCCCCCACCGGGACGCCTTGGTGGTCAAGCTGGACATCAACAACGTGGTGGTGCACCGGGTGCTCGTGGACACGGGTAGCTCGGTCAACGTCATGTACCATGACACATTCACCCAGCTGGGACTCTCAAGAGGGCAGCTGGAGCAGGTACGAACCCCCCTATCCGGGTTCACAGGGGACTCAATCGAGACAGAGGGGTCGATCACTTTGGAGGTGGAGATAGGCACCCCACCTTACACCAGGAGGTGGGAGATCGAGTTCGTAGTCGTCAAAATCAACTGCGCCCACAACATCATTCTCGGCTGACCCGCCCTAGAGGACCTCAGGTGCGTGATTTCCATGGAGCACCTGTGCCTCAAATTCCCGACACCGACCGGGGTCGGGGTCGCCCGAGGGGACCAAAAGGTGAGCCGCAGTTGCTACTTGAAGGCGTGCCGCCAAATTGGTCAGAAGGACCGCCGGGTCCACACCAGCACGGCCACGTAAGAGGTGGATCTTGGCATTGCTATCCAAGGAGGAGGACCATTCCCCTCCCCCAATAATGTCTTAGTGAACGACAATAAGCAAAATAAAGTTTCATGTCTCAAAACACGTTGTGAGTAGGACCCTTGTTACGAAGTTGGTTCTCCAAAAAAAAAAAAAAAAAAAAAAACATGAAACAAAGGGGGAACGAGTGCTCCCGCCGACCACTGCGACAAGAATCGGTTACTCGGAGGTCGCCGAGCCATGGGCCACGCGCCCAGCCGCGACACGAGGCAGCCTCGCGTGGGTCCGCAGGGCAGGTCCCCCAACCCCACCCGCGACATGAGCAGGCCTCCCGGGTCGAACGATCGGGTGAAATGAATGATAGAGCTCCGAGCTCCCATCGGGTAGAGGTCGAGCAGCTGCGGAGGAGGATGGACGAGCTCCAGAAGAAGATCAATGAGAGGGACGGATCTCCAGAGCCCCAGGATGTGTTGTCCTCCCCGTTCGCAAACGCCATCATGGAGGAGCCCTTACCTCGAGATTTTCGCTTTCCCACCATTAAAGCGTACTCGGGGACCACGGACCCGCGGGCACACCTGACCAGGTACAGGGCCGCCATGATGATCACCGAGGCAACAGACGTCATCCTATGTAGGGGGTTCTTCGCCACCCTGGATGGGCAGGCGCATGATTGGTTCGGATCCCTCCCGGCGAGGTCCATCTCTGCCTTTGCGGACCTCACCCGGCAGTTCCTATCCCATTTCACCACCCGCATACAGCGGAAGAAGCAAATTGCCGACCTGTGTGATTTGAAGCAGGGGAGCTCGGTGTCACTAGCCGAGTACCTCAGAAAGTGGAAGAAAGAGGCCATGGGGGTCGCTGACTTTGATGGGAAGTCGGCCATGGTGATTTTCCGAAACAACTTGAGGTCAGGCGCTTTTCATCAGGGCCTCATCAGGTACCCCCCCCCCCCCCCGCCCTCCAAGGACCTATACCGACCTGATGGACAAGGCAGCAAGGTACACTGACGCCGAGGCTGCCGAGAAGAGGAAGAAGGAACAGGAGGAAGGAAGAGGTCGAAAAGACAAGGCGCCCCAGGAGGAGCGCAAGGCGCCGCGGCCACACCGACGTGAGTACGCTGAGGGGCCCAGGCTGAACCCCACACGCTATCTCACCCCGCTGACACAACCTGTGGGTACCATCTTGGAGCACGCGGAGGACTAGGGAATCGTGGTATTCCCGAAGGAGGAGTGCATGAAGATATCGGCAAGGGGGGACCCCAACAAGTACTGCAGGTTTCACCGGCAGAAGGGGCACGATACAGACGAATGCATCCTCTTAAAGAGACAAATCGAGGAGCTCATCCAAATGGGTTACCTCGGCCAATTCATTAAGAGGCCCGGCCAGGCGCAGGGCTAGAAGCAAGGCAAGGTATGGAGGAAGGGGGTGGCCAGACGCCATCCACCTCGGCTCCCCGTAAGAGGGACCACCACGACAACAGCTCCGAAGAGGAGGAGAAGACAACAGAGGACTCCCAGCCCCCGAGGAAACATACCATCTACGTCATCTTCGGGGGGCCCGAGGGAGGGGACTCGCCAGCCGAGCGGAAGAGGTGGGCGAGAAGCTTGTACGTAGGGGAGGTCACACGAACACCCCACGAGAAAAAACCAAAGAGGGAGCCCATCACGTTCACCGACGCCGACCTACCTGACGGGCCCCTCCCCCACCGGGACGCCTTGGTGGTCAAGCTGGACATCAACAACGTGGTGGTGCACCGGGTGCTCGTGGACACGGGTAGCTCGGTCAACGTCATGTACCACGACACATTCACCCAGCTGGGACTCTCAAGAGGGCAGCTGGAGCAGGTACGAACCCCCCTATCCGGGTTCACAGGGGACTCAATCGAGACAGAGGGGTCGATCACTTTGGAGGTGGAGATAGGCACCCCACCTCACACCAGGAGGTGGGAGATCGAGTTCGTAGTCGTCAAAATCAACTGCGCCCACAACATCATTCTCGGCTGACCCGCCCTAGAGGACCTCAGGTGCGTGATTTCCATGGAGCACCTGTGCCTCAAATTCCCGACACCGACCGGGGTCGGGGTCGCCCGAGGGGACCAAAAGGTGAGCCGCAGTTGCTACTTGAAGGCGTGCCGCCAAATTGGTCAGAAGGACCGCCGGGTCCACACCAGCACGGCCACGTAAGAGGTGGATCTTGGCATTGCTATCCTAGGAGGAGGACCATTCCCCTCCCCCAATAATGTCTTAGTGAACGACAATAAGCAAAATAAAGTTTCATGTCACGAAACACGTTGTGAGTAGGACCCTTGTTACGAAGTTGGTTCTCCAAAAAAAAAAAAAAACATGAAACAAAGGGGGAACGAGTGCTCACTCATGACTTCCCCCCGCGGACCCTAAGGGGGCACGAGGTCCGACCTCGCGTACCAACCCCGACGGAGGACGCACCCTAAGGAGGCACGAGGGCCGACCTCGCGTACCAACCCCGACGGAAGAGCCCGATGGCACAGTCCAAAAGGACTTGGCCCGACCGGCTAACGCGCACCCTAAGGGGGCACGAGGTCTAACCTCGCATACCAACCCCGACGGAGGAGCCCGGTGGCTTGGTCCGACAGGACTGGGCCCAAGCGGTTAGGCGCACCCTAAGGGGGCACGAGGTCCGACCTCGCGTACCAACCCCGACGGAAGAGCCCGGTGGCACAGTCCGAAAGGACTTGGCCCGAGCGGCTAACGCGCACCCCAAGGGGGCACGAGGTCTAACCTCGCGTACCAACCCCGACGGAGGAGCCCGGTGGCTAGGCTTGAACGAACCAGGACGGAGCGGCTATCGCACCCTAAGGGGGCACGAGGCCAGACCTCGCGTACCAACCCCGACGGAGGAGCCCGAGTGCTTAGGCTCGAAAAAAAAAATCAGGGGCGGTTTGGATGACCTCGGCCCCAGGCCGAGGTCGAGGTCGGCCCAACCTCTGCGTGGCAGGTCGGCACGCGAGGTCGGTTCGACCTCAGCACCGGAGGTCGGCGCGACCTCGGCGCTGGAGGATGGCGTGACCCCGGCAGAGGGGGACGACCGTCGCCGAGGCCGACCCCGACGTGGCTTGAGCCCGGGAGGTCGGCCGGGGGGCCACGGAAGCGCGGCCTGCAAGCCATCCCCGTGGCAGCGTCACGGCGACGCCTCCGCTCCGGCGCCGTGACGGAGTGACATGGCAGAGACGCGGCGGTGCGTATGTGTCCTAGCAGATGAAGGAGTCATGTTCCGGATGGAGTTTTCATCATTATCACAAGAAGTGCACTTTGACGTCACCTATAAGGCTGGGACGCGGACATCTTGGGGTCGGCATTCTGAGGGGTCGGCCGAAGCAACTACTCTCCTTCGATGACGATTACTCGCAGCTCGGAGAGTGGGGGACTGATGACGGATATATTGGAAATCGACCCGAACCGACCCGAGGGCGCGAAGCAAGAACGGGTCCCGGGGCGACGCCACGTACCCGCCCCAGCCGTGGCCTCGCCACGTGGCCCCCGCACAGGCCACGTTGGAGGCCGGGCCGGCCTCTCCAGGAGGTCGGACCGACCTCCACATGGGCCCGGTCCGAGCTCCAAATGGGCTCGGCCCGGCCCCGTAGCGCCGGTCACGAGACCGGGCGCGGTCAACGCCAGATCCAACTAACCCCCCGTTTTAGGGGGAGGCGGTTGGGTGCTTGGCTTGTATAAAATCCCCCCCCCCTCCTTGTCCTAACAAGGGACATGCTATCTATGATCTACTTTACTTACACACTTTGTCCTAAGAAACTACTGTAATAGCCAATTCTATGGCATTTAATACAATTTACGGTCTCACGGCCTTTACTATATCGTTCGTATTACCTATCCATTATTTATTATTCATATTCTTATCCGGATTTAGTGATTTGGGCGCACCCCGGGTAATTAAATCCATCAATTTCATTTAAACAAAATTTATTCAAAAATATTTTGAATATAAGTCTAAAATCGCTCAAAATTATACTTGTGTTAATTTTATAACGTCAGCCTAAAAACTAAATTAAAAAGATATGAGTGTTAATAAAAGTTTCCTAAACAGAAACATAGAATACAAAATTAGAAAATATAAAATAGAAAAAAATTTCTTGAAGTAAAAGGATTTTTAGTTTGTATTTTACCTTCTCAAATATGTGTAATATACAATCCTTCACCCAGTGGCGGAGCCACAATGCGGACAGTGGGGGTAGCTGCCCCCACTCTCCCACCTCGTCTCATGTATATATATTGTATGTATAAGTTCCTTATATATACATAGTTAACTTATAGATATTAAATTTACATAAATTTAACTAAAGGATGAATTAGCTTAGATTGTAATATATCGATTCAAAATTTACAGTATGAATTTATAGTGAGATTAATTCTAATTGAATTTTTTATTTGTAATATTGTGTTTTTTTTTTTTAATTCCATTTTTAATATAAGTAATGATATTATTAATTTATAATATATTTTCTATTCGAATTTTTTTTATCTAATTAATTATATTACATATTTTGTGGAGTTTTATTTGTAACATTGTGTTTTTTCTCGATTTTTTAATATTAATACTGATATGAGCGTTTTATTATAATATGTTTTCTATTCAAATTATTTTATCTAATTAATTATAATTCATATTTTATTTTGAATATTTTTTTTATCTCATTATGATGTATTTTAATTTTTCATCTTAATTAACAATATTTATGACTCGGCTTCTAAGTATTTTTTTTTTCAAAATATCTCATTCAAATAATATCTTTTTCCTATATAAAAGAATGTACTTTCAGTATTCAAATAATATATTTTTCCTAAATACAATATACATTTTTATATATTAAAAGTACATTATTTGTGTACCAAATCTATATTATTTGATAGTGTAGTCCATACAGCTCTGTGAATCGTGGTCCACATAATAATAATTGCGAGAAGAGTTGTAACTATTCTAAAACAGTAAAACGGCATGAGTTCCAATTACATTTGTGATTACGTTTCAAAATAATTCCACATCCCAATGCACTTAGCCAATGAATAGAGATGAAAGTCCCTCGTAACAATTTATATGTAGAGGAATGTGCTTCATCAATCGTTATGCTGTGGAACCGTGTCAAGGTGGACACGGTTCTATTGTCATAATTATTGAACTATATGTTCATAATCATAAAGTTATATATACATAATTTTTAAATTTCATATTCATAATTATTGAACTTTATATTCACAATTACAGAACTACATGTTCATAATTATAAAGCTAAATATTCATAATTTTTGAACTTTATATTCACAATTATTGAATCTCTATATTCATAATTACAGAACCATATGTTCATAATTACGTTCACAACTTTATGTTCATAATTATGTTCACAACTTTATGTTCATAATTATAAAATTATATGTTCATAAGTTTTTAACTATATATTCATAATTATGAATAGTTTTGGAACCGTCGTGTGGAAAGGAGATATAGACATATTGTTGAAACTGGGCTAACTCTTATGGCTCACGCTTCTGTTCCATCTCGATTTTGGAATTTTGTTTTTGAAATTACTGTTTATCTTATCAATAGAATGCCATTCAATGTCTTGAATAATTCTAGTCCTCATCTTCTGTTACATAAATCTCCATCGTCCTATTTCTTTCTTCGTGTCTTTGGTTGCTTGTGTTATTCTCACTTAAGACCTTATAACCATCATAAAATGTCCTACATATCTCTCCTTGTGTCTTCTTAGGTTATTCTGACTCATTTCGGGGGCATGGGTGCATGGACTTACAATCTAATAAGATAGAGTTAATTCCACCAGAGGTCCCTTGTCTTTGGTGGCAATTCCAAATTTAGTCCCATCCTATCGTTTTTGCCATTGTACATCCAAGACTATCGTTTTTTGGACACTTTTAGTCATTCTCATGATTTTTTTCTACTTTTAGTAAGAGCATTTTTGTCTCTTTATATTTTTCTTTTGTTATTTTTCCGGTTTCAACCAATTTAGTTGGTTTAGGACTTTACTAAAAATTGGTTGAAAATATGATTACTAAAAATCAGAGGTTACCTAAAGTTCTAAACCAATTAAACTAGTTGAAATCGGAAAAATAACAAAACAAAAATATGAAGAGACAAAAATTCCCTTACTAAAAATAGAAAAAATCATGAGAAGGACTAAAAGTGTCTAAAAACGATAGTCTGGGATGTAAAATGGCAAAAATAATAGTCTGGGACTAAATTTGAAATTTCCACAAATGACAAGGGACCTCCAGTGCAATTAACTCAATAAGATATATGTTTGCAAGCATGTGCGGTTTGATGAGGCAGTTTTTCCCTTTGCTACTAAGACTGTTTTGCATGCACCTTCGGCTCCCCAGCCTCATCCTTGGGTTGAACCTGTCTTGCAGCCGTGCCATATGACATCCACTACAGCAGTCACGAATTCATCGCCCCCTGTGCAATCGGTTCCATCCGTCCCCGTTGTGGCTGCCACACGTGGCCATGCCTCGAGACCAAAGATGAGGACTCATTCCATGACTACTAAGAGTCTGTCTCGTCCTCCTCCTACGGTTTTGACTGCACAGGTTTGCCCTTTTGAGCCCACTTGTTATACACATGCAGTCAAGTATCCTGAGTGACGTGAGGCCATGGATCAGGAATTCAATGTTCTACTACAGAATTAGACCTAGTGTCTAGTACCTCCTCGTTCTACTACATGGTCTGAGGATTATTGTAGTGTGAACAACGACTTCAACCATAATCAAAAGAAAGGCAAACAAAAGTTTAGTCCTGAAGATGATTATCAGGAGGAAGTGAGCAGCCACTATGAAGCGAACCGTCATCCTGGTGAAAAGGTTGAGGACAACTTTGCTTTGGTTAAAGAATGTGGGTGGTTAGATGAGTGAGGTCACAACCAAGGTTTCTTTAACAGGTACCCCCGATGTGCGTTATGGGACCACCCTTCGTGGAGTAGACGGTTGAACAATTGAATGTGTCACACGGGTTCGAAGGACTACTACATAGGAATAATGGAAATTGGTTTCCAATGTATTTTCCTATTTATTTATTTTTTAAAATAAATGTTGTAGTATTCTTGTGATACATTTTTTTTGTTGAATAGAAATGATTTGTTCCATTTAGTTATTGAATCATGGTACATACGAATTTTTGATAGAATAATGTTAAATATATGAAATGATTCGATATGGATGCCTTGTACATTATGTAGCATTATTTGGAAAATGTTAAAATGGCTTAACGACCGAACCGGAATGTAACAAATGTGTTACATGTTGAGATCTCGTAAAAGACTTCGGTCCTAGTTCATGTTGAACGATATAGATTTCGTAGCTATATAATCGTGAACGTCACAGCTCAAGTGTTGAATACTTAAAATATTATTCGTAGTACGATTATATAAACTTGATTCAACTAGTCGTAAATTTGGTTGATTTGATATTGTTAATTGTGTAAGAATTAACTTGATCAAAAGTTCCAAATTATACTAGTATGAAATGTAATTTGAGACAAATTGTTGGGACGTCAAAAATTAAGCTTGAACTTAACGGGAAATGCTAATTGAATTTAGCATTGTTTAAGTGCTAATTGTAGTGCTTAATTGCACTGGACATCCAAAAATGTTGAATTAGCACTGTGCAAAGGGCTAATTAAATTTAGCATTGTAAAGTGCTATGTGATTAGCACTTAAGGAGTTTGCTAACGTATGAATAGTACCTAATCACATTTGTGATTAAGCTTTGCTTTGCTTAATCATGAAGTTGGATAACACTGGAATGTGCTTAAGGTAATTAGCAACTCTTTGTGTTGTTGAATTATAATGCAAGCGGTTGGTGCATTTAAAATTCACAGTAACGATTTGGTGCTTTACTAAGCACCGAATGATGCTTCAATGTCGAAAACACTGATTTGTAGTTTTGGCTTCGATCAATCCCGAATGGATTCATAAGTGCTGATTTGTTCGCACCTATGAGATGTGCTAACGTGTAACACATGTTTATTCTTTATAAGAATCGAGGGTACGGTTCGGTATTCACCTCAATCGAACGTTGTTGCCGAACATAAAAATCAAGACGTTGATAAGTTCGGGTCTACCTCAAAGTGTGTGGGTGAGACAATACTTTGGACAAGTAAGTACCTTTTAAATAAGGTTACCCGCATTAAACTCGATAAGGCCTCTTATGGGTTGTGGGTACGTAGGAATTTTTCCTACTAATACCTGAAATGTGGGGGTGTCTTGCCAAAGACATTTATTGGTTCTTAGTACACGAGTCCTATAGTTTGATGTACAAAAAAACACAATAAAAATTGAATCAAGAAATTCATCGTTCTTTAGAAGATGTATTTCTGTGAGGGTTCAATAAATGACCCAACACGTTGAAAGGAACGTTCGATGTAGCTGTGGTTGGAGGGTATGAAAGAGAACCCAAGCTCGAACCTAGACGTAGCAAAAGAGCTAGGATTGAAAAATCCTTTGGTCCAGATTTTCTAACGTACATGCTAGAATGTGATGCGCATATTCTAACTTCTTTACTAGAAAATGAACCGAATTTTCTGACAAGGTTGTTAGAAAATTGGCCTCAAACATATGTAGAAGTTATGATTTCTACGGAGAGGACCAAGTGAAAGAGGCTACAAAAAGTAAAGTAGATTCTATCTTAGAGAATCATACTTGGAACTGGTTGTTCTTCCTCCAGGTTGTAAAACCTTTGGATCCTAGTGGATCACGTGTCGGAAGATAAAAACCGGTTGGTTATATTGAAATAAATGGCCGGGTTTGTAATTGTAGATTACATGCAACGCGAGTGCCACAGTTACTTCGATATATATATTCTCTTGTGATGAGAATGAAATCCATTAGTATGATACTTGTCAAAGCCGTTTAGCGAGACTAGGAAGTTCATCAAAATGGATGTATCGCTTTCTTAATAGACATGGAACGACCTGAGGGTTTTGTGGTTCCACGCTGTGGAAAGAAAGTGTGTAGTTGGTGAGATCATTGTATGGTTCGAAACAATTGCCGTAGTATTTGGCATGTGAGGGTTGATCATGCATTGATGACCAACGAGTTTAGTATAAACAAATGTGACAAGTGTGTCTACGTAATGAGTATGATAAACGGTGATATCACTGTTTGTTTATACACGATACACTCATCGTGGGTAGTAACGATCAAATGATCAAATCTACCAGGAACATGTTAAATTTGATATTTGACATGATGGGCATGAGTTTGGCGAATCTAATCCTCGGGATTAAAAAAATGTGAGAAGACCGTATGGTCTCATGTTAAGCCAATCTCGTTGAGTTGATTGAATCCTCGCAAAGGATAATAATCAAGTGGCTTGGACACCAGTAGATACTAACGTACAACTAGCCAATAATCACAGAGATTGTATTTCTCACGGAGAATACGTTCAGATTATTGGTAGTTTAATTGTATCTAATAGGTTGTACTAGGCCGGATATTGCCTTTGCGGTAAACTCAGTTGTGACACCCTGGAAATTCATTCCCTAAAACCCGAATTAATTCCTTGTGGCTTTACAATTCTTATCCTAATCTCCCTTTGAAATTAGTTGAAGGACCTAGTTGACCAAATTCCTTATCCTTCTAATTTGGTCAATGAGTTGTACCTTGGGCTTTAGCCCTTGTACCCTAGACTTTGTCTTTCTCCTAACAAGTTTTGGGAGGAAGGGGCCCTTTTGGTCATTTCACATTAAAACCCTACCCTAACCAAGGAATCCAAATCATTTTTCAAGATTCCCCTTCTCTCTACATCTCTTTCTTGCCCCTACTCCTCCTTCTCTCTAGGAAATCCTAGAGTTGATCTTCACAAGTTCTTCAAGAAATCCCAAGCCAAGATTCCAACACTACAAGGCTAGGAATGGTAAGATCTATCCTTCCCTACCTTTTCCTTACAAGATTCCTCCATCTTTTCTCTAAATCTTTCTTTTACCTTGTGGGTTTTGGGAGTTTGTAGAATATCTAGTGGTGGGTGAAGTGCTAGGTTGATCTAGAGGAGCTTTGGTCTTGCTTTGAGGTTGAAGAAGGTTTTTTTGGTCTACAATAGGTAACCCATGCTACACAAAACCTATTTTCACTTGTTAATAATGATTATTGACTTCTATGTGGTATTTTTGATGTGTTGGAGTGATTGATGCATGATCTTGTGATAATACATGTTTAGAGCTTGTATTTAGGGTTCTTGACTGCTATTGTATGAGTTATTCATAGGTTCAAGTCATATCTTTGTTGTGTGGAAGATATGGGGTCATTTGGACTTGAACTTGGCCTTGAAAGTGAATTTTCGCGAATGCTGATTTTTGGGCCCTGATGTACCCCGCGGGTACTGCCGCGGGTGGAGCCCTACCTGTGGCCCCACCCGCGGGGAACATATATGCGGATTGCGGGGATTTGTTCCCCGTGATCCTTTCTTCTTGGTATTTGATGTTTTGACCTCCCGTTGTTGAATTATTGAGCTTTTGTGAGTCTTCTTGATGTTTCGTATGTCTAGAACGATGTGTTAGGAATCCATGTTAGCATTTGGCGTCTTGAATCGTGCTAAGTGTCCAACCTTGTGATTCGTTGGGCTAATATGAGTCTTGAAGGTTGGATGGAACCATTTTGGTTACCCGTTTGATATGCATGCTAGTTTTGGTGTCATTAATGCTAGTATGTATTGTTTGTCCCTTTTCTATTGAGGATTGGCAACTCGTGTTGCCAACAATGTTGATATTGGATTGAGGTCCATTGTTTTTGTTGAGTATCGTTTCATGTCCTTCATTGAAACCCCTTGCTTGGATCCCTTGATGTGATCCTATGTGTATGATTATTCCTTTATTAAGCTATTGTTGAGTGTATCCTTTGTTGTACACACTTTGTGTGGAATCTAGGTGTTGTTGTATCTCTAGATTCCGTGTGTATTGACTCTTGTTGAGATGATGGGTTGATGTGATGAGATGATTGAGCTGGTAAAGTGGACAGTGTGGGGGCTTATGTGTGATTGCATCCGGTAGTGGGTTTAAAGCTCCGGATTGCCATTTGGATACTTTACTTGTAGCCAACATGGGAAACTCATTCTAGTTGCCAGAGATGGTAGCTAACCCGTTGAGCTTGGAATCTCAATAGGGGGTGTATACACTTAAAGTTGCTAGCTCTACTTCCATTGGGTTGCGGTCCTTGTCATTGCGATGAGCCGATGACACTATGCATGTGATCCGGGTCGTTGTGATGACAACGTGATACATGATTGATGATTTGGAGCCCTCCACACTGATCCACTATGAATCGAGCCGTGGTGCTGACTCCACGGTATATGACTTGGTGTGATGGTGTCCTATGTAGACTTGGAACTCGTTATGGTGTGAATCTGGCCTTCCAATGCTTAAGTGCATGTCTATTGAGAATCCTTCGTTATGTGTCGCATGTTGTACCTTGTTGTTGAGCTTGTTGCTTGTGGTTCTATTGTCTTGTTGAGTATGATGGTCTTTGACCTTTGTTGTGAGTGATTGATGAGTCTATTGATGTTTCCTCTCTCGGCTTTAAAATGATATATAATGTATTCCCAGTTTCAAATGGTTTTGATTATATCTATGTATATTATGATACTTAACGCGTGTTGGTGGGTTACCAGCATTATTCGCTGTCCGGGTGTTATCCCTTGTCTTTTACAGGTTGAGTAGCTTGGAGAGCGCGCTAGTGGCCTATAGATAGATTAGATATCTTCCTTTATTAGTTGTAGAGGCCTGTGAGCCTAAGTAGTTGAATTGTTAGACTGCTTTAGTTGTAGTATCTTCCTGTGCACCTATGTTTGATATAGGTGTGGCATAGCACCTCCGTGTTTAGACGTTGCTTCCGTTGCTTAATTATTAATGATTGTATTTCTCA